AAGGAAGCTCTACGAGTTCCCGGTGGTAACCAAAGTTGACGATTTACTGCCGGCCCCCAGTTTGGGTCGATTAGACGAGCATTGTGAGAGATTTAAGCATTCGTTTTAAGAACCGGTATCCTTCGCACCTGTTGTGGGTTATGCCGGCCTGAGATCACGATGCCGAATGGGGATGATAGAACATCCCATGGGAAAAAATGCCTCCTAGAACTCTTCGGCATAGATGAGCTGGAGGACTTCCGGCGCGGGATGGAGCTAGTTGGCCCGCCCGGCCCGGCCGGGCAATGTGTGGAATTTGGGTCGGTTAGACGAAGATTGTGAGATATTTAACTAAGCCTTCGATTAAAAAACCGGTATCCTTCGCACCTGTGTTGGGTTATGCCGTCTGCCAGTCAAATTTTCGAAGTCCGTAGCTGCAGTGTTACTATCAAAACACTTGGCGGAACCGACTTCGTATAAACCCCCAAAAATATTCGGCAATTTTTCAAGTTGATATTCGAAGAAGCACTCTCTTAGAGCACTACGAGGATTCCGGGTCTTCAGACGTGGAGGAACCGACTTCGCAAAACATCCCAAACAATACATCTCATGAGTTTCCAAGCTTATGTTCAAGGGGGCTTTCTCTTTGTGAGGTGAGCACTAATTCGCGTGCTCAGAGCAGTATGACGGTTCCGGCGGTGACCTGGTTGACGGTTTCCCGCTAGCTTCCAGTTGAAATTTCGAGAGCACTATTTTCAACCAGCCCAAAGTCACCCAAAAAGTCCGTCGATATTGACTCGTAGAGCTTCCCTACGAGCATAGCGGCGAAGCTAGAGAGTAATTCCGGCGCGCTGGGGGGCTAGTTGGCCCGGAAAATCTTGACGGCAGTTTTGCATGGTTTTGGTCGGTTCAAAATCAGGTTCTTGGAAGTGAACCATTCGTTAGAATTCTAATAGTTCTTCTCCCCATCTTCAAACTTATTCCCGCTCGCCATATTGATCTTAGGTCGACCGGGTGGTATTATTATTGAAAGCATGTGGGCGTGATTTGCTGTTGAGCGTCATCTTGGCATGTGCTGTCGGTTTGCTCGACTTCACTCGAGCTGTAGATGAACTACAGAGTCGATATTTCAATCATACTCGACTTCACTCGACTTCACTCGATATTTCAAATCTACAGTATTACCGATTCCAGGATCTCAGACATCTCAAAGCTCTAGCCCAATGCGTCCGAGGCTGCTAACTGAATTCGTGTGACTGCGAGCTCGCTATCTCAGAGTTTCGAGATCGAGTCGTAAGCTGACGCACGAAACAAATGTTACAGACATAGCTTTTCGCCCAGAGCTCACGTACGAGACAAATTTGAGGTCTCTCCATGCTCTAGACCTCCAAAGGCGTTAGCATCGACCGTGTAGCTGCGTCAGGTTTGAGATCAAAGTGTATACCAACAGTGAATGTTTTATCGCATGTTTCGATCATAGCTCGAGTGTGAAACTGACGTCAGGTCTCTCGAGGCTCGAAACCAATTCTTCAGAGGCACCGAGATGAATTTGTGTAAGTAGGCGCTCAGTAGCTACTCTAAATATTGAGATGGAGTCTGTAGACTGATCGCATGCCTGAGAATATGTACGTATCTTGGTTACAACTCAAATATAGAGCCGATCGGAGTCTCTCAAGGCTCCAGACTGATCGTTGTGATGCTGCAGAATCCATTGCTGATTCTATGAGCTCTGTAGCTGCTCTCAACGTCGAGATCGAATGGGTCGACCAACGGTGTTTCAACTATTGGATTTTGTTTTGACCCCTCCAACTAAAAGACAGATGAACGCGTCGTGACTCAACATGCAGGAACAAATACAAATTCTCAAAGCCAGTTGTCAAATCTCTCATAGTAACCCAACATACAACTTTAGGTCACCGTGTCTCTCCTGGCCGGATCGACCAGATAGCTCTGCCCTGCGCCGGAACTTGTGCAGTCCACTAGTGTAGTCGAGACCCGGACAGCAGTGCGTTCGAAAGGCATTGAAAGGCCTGGACAAGTACTCCGGAAGGATCTGAAGAGAGCGTTCGAAGGACCTTCTTGAGAGCCTCCAGTTACGTGTATTGGCATACGCTTAGGAAAGACCTTTCGGGACACGCTGCCATTTCGCGCAAGCTGCGCCGAGGTGTGTGGACCCCCGCCGGAGCGATCTCTGGGGCTACACCGCGGCTCCAGCTTCGGCGCCTGAAACCCGAGCTATCCGGGATTTTGCCCGAAGCAGCCCGCGGGAGGGGTCTGCAGGGTTGCTGGGAAGCATTTCTCTCTAGCTGGCAAGGGCGGGAAGTCTTTACCGGAGACGCTTGCCAGGACGCTGGGAAGATTTGCTTGGGGAGCTCGCGAACTTCGAAGAACGAGCCTCCAGACAGCTTCGAAGAACCTTGGAAGGACCTTCTAAGGACCTTCTGGAGAGCTTCGGGGCACGCCAGCTGGGGACGAGCAGGAAAACGCTGGCCAGAACACGCTGGAGGGTCAAGCAACTTGCTGCGGGGATGCCTGACCGGGTTTGCGTGGCCCTGCCTGCCGGCTTCTAGTATGAAACCGTGCTAGCTCTCCGAGAAGCTATTCGGGAAAAACCTGGATAGCGACGCAGTTTACGCTCGAAACGCTCATGGGGGCGCTGGGGGAACGCTAAGTACGCCTCTCTGGGGAGCTGCTTGGGGAGCTTGCAAGCTCTGGAAGCAAGCTTCCAAGGAGCTCCCAAGGATCTTCTGGAGCGCTTCAGGGCACGTTCATTTCCCAGATAGCTCCTTGGAGAACTAAGAGGGTTTCTTAGAAGCCGGCAGGTAGGGCTACGTCAGCTCCTCTCCAAGGCTCTGGGTGAGGCATCCTCGCAGCGCCTTGCTTGAAGTTGCAGCGTGTCCCGAGAAGCGATTTCCTGCTCGTTCCCATTACGCGTGCCCCGAAGTTCTTCAGAAGGCACTACATGTGGATGATTTGCCGTACTCACGGGGGCCCTACGTATTGGTAAAGGTCGCCGTGTGTGGTTCAGGTGGTTCTTCGGAAGCTTGCCAGAAAGTCGTGGTTTTTAATTCTGGAATGGCATGTTGGCTGCGCGAAGTCAACTGGAGCCCTGCTGTTGAATTGGGTACCATCCTCAATGTACGATTTTGAACATGATGCTGTTTGAGGTGGATGACGTATGCATCGGGAGCTCGTCAGCACGCGCTGCGGTCTTGTCGAGGAAGTTGCTTGAGATCAGATCGCCCAGCTGAGCGCAGGTCAGTTTGAGAAGGCAGATTGCCCGCTAGTGCCAGACGAATTGAAATCTATCTGGTCCGCCATGTGCAAATTCAATCGCGTTGGCTGGGGATCCCGGCCACAGGCAGCGGGCGTCGCGAGTATGATCGCTAGTCGATTCACAGTGCCGACGAATGGTGGCATCTCCCTGGCCAGTGGGATGGCCTGGCACTTTGAGGGCCGCAGCGTCCCTGGGCATCGTGGTCTGGCCATTGGGCCAAGACATGATTGCTGTCTCGTCATTGACCGTGGAAGCTACAGGGCGTTGGATGATATGACTGACGGCCGCGGTCCTGTAGAAAACAGCTCCCAGCGAGCGTGGATGGTTCTTGCTGTAGAAGAGCAGTCTGTATAGTTCATCGCTCGGGATGCCTGGACGGCGCAGCTCTGAGGCTTCGTTGGTAATTTCTGTCTGCGCTGGCTGGCGAGATGCAAGATTTGTCTGCGGCTGTGGCAGAGGCCTCGGCAGATCCTATGTTTAGATAGCATGTTCCGTGAATTAGATGGGCGTGGTCACTGCCTAGTTCCTGTTCATTTTTTTAAAATTATTTTTGGCCGTGATCGTCCCCAGGGACTCAGAGAACGTCACGTTTCTGTGGTCTTTGAACAACTACTATGATGATGCCGTGCTGCTGGAAGGGACTGCAGGAGCCATGGATCGGTGCTCGGCGATCATGTTATCGATCATCGGTGGAGCTCTCGACAGGGCCCACGGCCCGATTCGATGGCCCCCCCGTGGCAGGATGCCAGTAGATGCTCCCGCGGAGGACAATATGTCTCAGTGGAGTGCCGCTCTGTGTGACCTCTTGGCCAGCGGCCGATTCATCCACGTCGACCAGGACTACGGACCAGAGAGGCCTCATCACATTCGGATCTTAAGAGTCGAGCTCCCGCAGACTCCTAGGAGGCTTAAGATAGTCCCAACGTAGTGTTCTCAGAGGACTTCGTGTTCCGCGCCATCGTCCCTGGTGGTGGTGGTTGTGTCGATGATTTTTCAAGTTGGCTCGAGGGAGCGTGTCGTCTGTCCCTGCTGCTGCCACAACGAGAACTTGGCAGGATACGTGGTCCATTCCTCCCTTCCACAAAATTGTGCTGCGGGGGAAATTTATTGGGTAGTCTCGGATGGGGCTTTAGAGGCTCCCTGGGGCTTTTTGGCACTTTGTATAGAGAATGTTTTTGCGTGCTGTCAGTGATTTTCCTGGTGAGCGGGACTTGGAATATCTAGGATGCTTCGGGACACCCAAAGAGCTTCGGGAGGGGAACGTGGTGCATGCAACAAGGACCTGGATTTGGTTCGTTCTTCCCTCCAGAACACAGTGTGCGAAATGCTTTGGGGCCTTTCGTATGGGGATCTTGGTGGCTTGCTTTGGCATTTTGGGTACCTTTTGGGTCTTGATGGATGTTGTCAATTAAGGCATGTGGGCAATCTAGGGTGATCTGGACACTGCTAGGGGGGCGTCGTGACGCCCAGGGAGTTTTTTGAGGGACGCCCAGTGGAGCTAGTAGGAAGGCCCGCGTGATCCAACAGCATTTGCGTGATATCGTGTCAGTGCGTGCCAGGGGTGCTCTGGCTGATGTCAGCAAAAAGTCCTATCTTGCACATTGCACAATCATCCCGCATTCCAGTGTCGGCTCCGTCGAACACGGCGGTGGATTGACGAACCTTCGAGCCTTCATCTTCAGCCAACAGCTTGGTCCTGCCTCGTTGCGATCCTCTCGCCGCCGTCGCCGCGTTCCTTCTCTGCAGCCGTGCGCGCTGGGAGGGGTGTCTGGCGTTGTGTCCCGGCCCGGGTGGCCCGGGCGTGAGGAGCGGGCGCCCCCCCCCGGCCCCCGTGACCCTTCCGCTCATCCCGGCTCCTCTTGGCTCTCGCCTTCCCACGTGTCCGCTGCCCTACCCCCCTCGGTCTCCGCTCCCCCTCTCCGTTTCCTTGCCCGCTTTCTCCCCGTCTCCCAGCGCCCCCTTCCCCTCGCCTCCATTGGCTGCGATGGCGGGTCTGCCGCAGGGCTCTTCGTCCACGAGTAAAAGCCATTGGCACGATTGCATCGACCAGTCGGGCATCCTCTACGAGTAAGTTCCCGTATTTTTTTGGTCGCTTCTCCCTCCCTACTCCTATCCACCGTCTGGCTTCCTTCTTTCCATCGCCGCGCTACCTGGTGTCGTCGTCTCCTTTGCTCCTGCTTTGCATGGTCTCTGGGCCAGTAGTCCCTGGCACCGCGCTTCCCTGTCGGCGTTAATTGAGGAGGATGAGGAGGAGGGGGAGGAGAATGGCCAAGGGACAAGTAGGCTGAGGATGGCGATCAGTTGAAGGAGTGACGAGGAGGTTGAATAGTATGGCGAGGAGGAGGGGGGATGATGAAGAGCGGGAAAAGGCGGATCAGCAGGAGGAGCAGGAGGGGGGAGGGAAGGGAAACGGGCAGGAAGAGGTGGGGTAGGGGAATCTTATTCTCTGCGTCTCAGAAGCTCCAGGCCTCTGCACCTGGCTGTGCAGGAGGGAGGTATCAGGAGGACAGGGGGGAGAGGAGGGGAGGACGAAATGTTGAGTCGAGGATGAGAAGACGCACCCCACCGAGGTTTCAAAGTTTACGGAAGTAGAGGAGAATAATGATGATGATGATGACGATGATGATGATGATGATGATGATGATGATGACGATGATGATGATGATGATGACGATGATGATGATGATGATGATGATGATGATGATGCTGCTGATGCTGATGCTGATGCTGATGCTGATGCTGATGCTGATGCTGATGCTGCTGATGATGCTGATGATGATCATGATGATGATGGTGGTGGTGGTGGTGGTGATGATCATGATGCTGATGATGATGGTGATGATGATGATGCTGCTGATGATGATGCTGATTATAATGATGGTGGTGCTGACCATGATATGACGATTCTGATCTGATGTTGATACGTGGGAATGGGCAGGTGAGAGTATGAGGAAGAGGGATATATACACATAGTGACGCCGAGGCAGTCCGCACAATCGTTCTGAGATTATGGTCAGGCTTTCCAGGGCATACTTTTGTGTATATACAGATATCTATGCATACCCATGTGTATACACATGTATAGGTATGTGCATGCACGTATGTATGCATGTATGTATGCATGCACGGATGCATGCATGTAGGTATGTATTTAGGTATGTAGATGTCTATATATATATATATATGCATATTTAATCGTAGTCGCACGAGGGGCCTGACCTTCAGGGAACCCGTGTCCACCTCACGCCTCGGCGTACCAGTCATGCAACGTTTCCTTCAATTTCTATTCGCTCCCTTGTCGAATCTTCCAGAACGTCGTGTGCAGTTGCCTGCGCTGTCCCTCAGCTCACACCGTCGTTCAGTTATGCGTGCGCCGCATGTCTCGCAGTCCCAACGGGCGACATCATGGCAGCGGGACTCCCAAGTCAAGCGACAACGAGTAGTAGGATGCGGGGTCGAGTTAGGAGGGAGGAGAACAGGGAGGAATGTACCCGCTGTGTCGTTCTACGTACTCATGATCGCGAATCTGCCGTCGTTTACCTGGTCTAGGCTTTGCAAAGTACGAGGGGAATCTGGAGAGAGTATGGATGGAGGATGAGGAGGAATCACAGGAGGCAGACGAGGATGAGGGGGAGGTGGAGGGCGGGGAGGATGTGGAGGGGTAGGGCGAGAATGATGGTGATGGTGTTGGTGGTGATGCTGCTGTTGAACAAAATGATGATGCTGATGACGATGCTGATGATGCTGATGATGATGCTGCTGAGGATGATGCTAATGATGATCATTATGCTTATGATGCTGATAATCTGCTGTCGCTGATGATGCTGATGATGACAATGGTGAATGATGATGGTTATGGCGATGCTGATGAGGATGACGATAACAATAAGGCTGATCAGGCCGATGATTATGACGATGATGATCATCTTCGGAAGACGGTGCTGCTGCTGATGATGCTGCTGATGCTGATACTACTGATGATGACGATGCTGATTATGGTGATGATGCTGATGATGATGACGGCGACGATTATGAATATGTTGTTGTTGTTGTGGTTGTTGTTGTTGCTGCTGTTTTTGTTGTTATCATGGTTGTGGTTGTTTTTGCTGTTGCTGCTGTCGTGGATTTGTTTGTTGCTGTTGCTGTTTTTTTTTGGTTGCTTCTGCTGCCGCTGCTGCCGCTGCGGCTGCTGTTGTTGTTGCTGTTGCTGTTGTTGCTGATGCTGTTATTGCTGCTTTTTTAGAAATTTCTGTTTTTGTTGTTGCTGCTGCTGTTGTTGTGGTTGTTATTATTGTTGTTGATGCTTTGTTGTTGTTGTTGTTGTTGTTGTTGTTGTGATTGAGTTATCACATCAACATAAGTATTCTTGTTGACCCCTCCTCCCCTGTATCAGCTGTATATTTTCAATCAGGGTGCTTCTCCGGGGCTCGCGCTCCGTTCTTTACCAGGGAAAGCGAGGTGTCACCAAGCTGCGCCTCAGGCCCCTAGTTTACAACAACAGCAACAGCTCCCGCCTGATAATTCCTCACAATGTATTCCCAAATCGCGCTCTCGCGCGGGACGTTCTCACAATTTATGCAGAGATCGCGCTCTCACGTGGGACTTCCTCGCAACTTCTTCAGACGCCGCGCCCTCGACACGCAGGAATCACGCTCTCGCTTTGGCCTATCCTGCGATTTACTTTGGAATTGTGCTATCGCTCGAGACTTCCTCGCGATTCATGAAGGACGCACGCTTCAGCAACCCGCCTGCTCGACCTGGCCGGCCCGCCTTCCCGACCCGCCTGTTAATTAGAGTCTACCCGCCCGATCTGCCCGTCTGATTCTGCCACGTGTTTTCTGCCTTTAGCCCCCCTCCTGCTACTTTCTCTCTCGTGCTCCATCCTACTCCCTCCCCCTTGTCCCTTTCTTCCATCCGTCCTCTCTTCCTCTGCCGTAAGGGCTGCATGAAATACACGTTGCAGGTAAGAAAGATATACCCCGAAGGGGGTACGATCAAAGACGAAGAGGGCGGGTATCGAGGGTTTGGGATATACGTGTTGAATGGCTCGCGGGCAGGTCAGAGCGAATCTTTTTGTTGTTGTCGTTGCTGTTGCTGTTGTTGTTGTTGTCCTTATAGTTGTTGTGTTTGTTGTTTTTGTCGTTGTTGGGGTGGTGATGGTGGTGGTTGTGATTGTTTTCGTTGATGGCGACGGTGGTAATGATGGATGTGCTACTGCTGATAGTTATGATGATGACGATGGTGATGACGATGAAGATGACGATGCTGATTATTCTTATGAGGATGATGCTGCTGCTGATGATGATGATGATTCGGATTATGCTGATGATGATGTTGGTGGTGATGGTGATACTGATGACACTGACGATGATTATGATGATGTTGATGATGATTAGGATGATGATGCTGATAATGATGATGATGATGACGATGGTGATGCTGATGCGGCTGATGATCATGATGCTGATGATGATGCTACTTATGATGATGATGCTGATGACGATGCTGATGGTAATGTTATGATGATGATGAGGATGATGACGAGGATGCTTATGATGAATATGATGTTGTTGCTGCTGCTGCTGATGATGATTATGATTATGATTATGACGATGACGATGACGATGACGATGATGATGCTGCTGATGATGATGATGATGACGATGGTGACGATGATGATGATGATGATGATGATGATGATGATGATCATGATGAAGCTGATGATGATGCTGATGATGCTGCTGCTGATGATGATGATGATGCTGATGCTGCTGCTGATGATGATGACGATGATGACGACGATCATGATGATGATGCTGATGCTGCTGCTGATGATGATGATGCTGGTGGTGACGGTTGTGATGATGATGCTGATGGTGATGATGATGATGATGCTGATGACGATGTTGATGTTGATTATGATGATGATGATGATGATGATGATGATGATGATGATGCTGCTGATGCTGCTGCTGATGATGATGATGATGATGCGGTTGATCGTATCAATGGTTGTGATGATGATGCTGATGATGATGATGATGTGATGAGGATGAGGATGATGACGATGATGATGATGATGATGATGATGATGATGATGCTGATGATGATGATGATGATGATGATGATGAATAATATTCGTAATCTGATAGTAGTGCTCATAGTAATGACATTCATACTAGTTTTAATAATAATATTATTAATGTTCGTAATACTAATATGACTAATAATGATACTCATACTAAGATTAATACTTGTACTACTGCTACTACTAGTAAGAAAACAATCACCACTGCTAATAATAGTAGTAATAATACTAATAATCGTAATATCAATAATAATACGTATAACAATAATAATAATATTACTAATGCAAACAACATGTTAATAGTAATATTAGTAATACTCAGAATAATACTCGTCATAATAACAAGCATAAGCGATCAGAAGAGGAGGAGGAGAAGGAAGAGGATGAGGAGGGAGAGGAGGAGGAGGATTAGGAGGAGGAGGAGGGGGAGGAGGAGGCTGAGGAGGAGGAGGAGAAGGAGGAGGGCGATGAGGAGGAGGAGGAGGAGGAGGAGGAGGAGGAGGAGGAGGAGGAGGATGAGGAGGAGGAGGAGGAGGAGGAGGAGGAGGAGGAGGAGGAGGGTGAGGAGGAGGAGGAGGAGGAAGGGAAGGGAAGGAGGAGGATGATATGGAGGGGACGTGTAGACCTCCACGTCCTCAGTCTCCGCGGGCTTCCCCGGCGGCCTCGGACACGGCAGGCCACATCGGCCTGGCGGGAGTATACGTATTGTGAGAGGGCGGGGCGGGAGAGCGGCCCCCGACCCGCGCTGTGCAGCTGGCGGCTTGATGGCGGAGCAACTCGCCCGCATCTTCGGGACCGAGGAGGACCGCGTGAACTGCCCGTTCTACTTCAAGATCGGCGCCTGCCGAAATGGCGCGCCGCCGGGCGCTGCCGTCGTTGTCGTGGTCGTCGTCGTCGTCGTCGTCGTGCGGGCGTCTTTTCTCAGTGCCCTCGTCCCGAGGCGAAGCTCTGGCCTTGTGGAGTTGTTGGGGGCTCCAGGTGCCCACGACGTCGGAGGTTGGGGGACAGGGGCCAGAGGTCTATTGCGACCGTGTGCTCACATCGTTGGCACGCGAGAGTCATATCGTTCTGTTATTTTCTTTCCTTTTCTTTCCTTTTCTTTCCTTTTATTTTCTTTTCTTTTCTTATTTAATTTTATTATTTTATTTTCTTTTCTTCCCTTCTATTTGCTTGATGTATGTGTGTATATTTGTGTAGATTTAGTATCAATGTGTGCTGCCGCTTCCGTGCCGATGACGAGCGTTTGCGACTCCATGTCCACGCAGCTTCTGGGGTGGAGGAGGAGGGGGAGGGCGCACAGGGTACAAGGCTAGTGCTGCACCATAACTTGTTAGTGTGGAAAGAGCAGCTAGTGTGAGTGTGGTATGTCTGCTGCACAGTTCCAGTAAGGGTTTGAACGTAGCACTGGTGATGAACAGAACCAATGCCCCCCGCACCACCATTTTCCCAGGTGTTTGGGGTTCGAGGAAGTTGTACGAGAAAGGAAGATCCACCGCCAAAGGCTGGCTTACGGGCCCTGGTACTCTTGGGTGTCTGACTCAGGACTCAGGGGTGAGAGTCAGGCCAGGGCAGGGTCTACTTCGATCCGACCGATCCGATTCGGTATCGATCCCGGCAAGCCCGATCCGATTCGAGTTCGCTACTCCGACGGCCTGATGCGGCCCGATACTTACATCCTGCCGCAGCCGATCCAGTTCCATTTCGACTCCGTGCCGATGCGGCTCGACTCGACACACTTTCCGATTCGATCTGATGTCCCGATTCTACAGTGAGCGGCTTGAATGAGGAACACTTATTGTTCAAAGGGGATCGGTCGTTATAGGTTTGCATGCGTTATTTATCGTTCCTTACGCGTTATTTATTATTTTTCGTCCCTTATGCGTTATTTATCGTTCCTTATGCGTCACTCCTTGGAAAACCTTAGGTGAGGCCGATGACTGTCTGCTGACTGATCCTGCTGGGCGTGGGATCTTCTGCTCGGGCCTCGAGGGCGGCACGTGCCGTTGGGCGGGCAGGCGCCGCCTCCGCGTGGGGGCGCGCCGCCCGAGGCGGCCCCGGCGCTCCCGAGGTCCGGGCTCGTCGAAGGGCCTCGGTCCCTGCAGGACAGCCCCCCCCCACCGGGCCACGGGGCCAAACCCTTCGACGAGGGACGGATCGCGCCGTGCGGCCTGAAGCTCCGTCGCCCCTTGCTTTGGCAGCCTCGTCGTCGTCGTCGGCGTCTTCGTCACCTGCGCACACGGCGGCGTCCCTGGGTTCTCCTGCCGCCTCTGCTTCCGCCTCGTGTGCTGCGGTGCTCCTCAGTGTCGCACCCCCTGGCAGAGGGCCGCGTGACGGGTCCTTCCGCGGGCAGCCGATCCCATCCGATCCTCCGTTTCGCCCCCTGCCATCCGATCCGACCCGACCCGACCCGATCCGATCCGTCGTGCTGCCTCTGCCCTCGTGCTGCCTCTGCCCCTCGCCTCGCCTCCGCCAGCAGGCTGCCCCTGCCCTGCCCTGCCCCTGCCCTCGTGCTGCCTCTGCCTCTCGCACCCCTCGTGCCGCCCCTGCCCTCGTGCTGCCAGCCATCCGATCCGACCCCGCCTCGCCCGCGTGCTGCCTCTGCCTCCGCCTCGCCCTCGCCACCGCCCGTCGCTGCTGCGGCGCCTGCCCCCAGTGCTCCGCGTCCCTGGCCGCCGCCAGCCCTCTCTCGAGGGAGGTCTGCCCGCCTGCTCTCTGGTGGGCGTGCCGCGCCCCGTCCCTCTGCTCCTCGCGGTGGTAATTGGGAGGAGGAGGAGGAGGAGGAGGAGGAGGAGGAGGAGGAGGAGGAGGAGGAGGAGGAGGAGGAGGAGGAGGAGGAGGACGAGGACGAGGACGAGGACGAGGACGAGGAGGAGAACGAAAACGAGGGGGACTGGTGGTACCCACCTCCCGAGGCGACCAGTGCAATCGTCTGCACAACAGGCCGACCATGAGCCAGACGCTGCTGCTGTCCCACATGCGCCCCCCACTTCCGCCGCCTGCCTCTCCCGGCGTCCCCGCGAAGCCTCTCTGCTCTGCTGTGTGTGTGTGGGCGTCCAAGGGTGTGTGTGTGTGTGTGTGTGTGTGTGCGTGTGTGCGTGTGTGTGTGTGTGTGTGTGTGTGTGTGTGTGTGTGTGCGTGTGTGTGTGTGTGTGTCTGTGTGTGGGCGTCCCCGGCCGGTGGATTTGGCATGCGCCGCCTCAGGATTGCCTCGCACGTCATCCTCGACCTCGGCACCCACGGCGCGTGTCCTCTGCACCCTGCCCTCCCCCGCTTGCCATTCGTGCCTCTCTTGATTTGTTTGGTTTTCAGGCCTACTCCTCTCCTGGAGGTGGTCCCGCGTTGGCCGCCGCCCTCGGGCTGCCTCGCAGGTCACTTGTGACCTCGGCTCCCCTGGCCGCCTCGCTGCACTGCTTTCGCCTCCAGCTCGTGCTGGGCCTGCCCCCTCCTTGGACGCCTGCCTCCTGCGGCCGCCCTGCCTACCTACCCCCCAGCTGCTGCCTCGCCGCTGGTGGCTCCAGGTCCCGCCGCCCCCCCCCCCGCCGCCGCCTGGCCCCGCTCTGAGCGTGCCCGGCGTCCTCCTCCCTCCTGCCCGCGCCGGGCGCCCTCCTCTCTTCCCTGTGCATGGCGGCCCAGTTCGCGTTCTGTGCATCCCACTAGCGCCCCATCGCCAGCGCACTGACGCTGCCCAGCCGCCGACGTTAAGTGTGTGTGTGTGTGTGTGTGTGTGTGTGTGTGTGTGTGTGTGTGTCTGTGTGTGTGTGTGTGTGTGTGTCTGTGTCTGTGTGTGTCTGTGTGTGTCTGTGTGTGTGGATGTCGTGGCGAGGGCCATCATCTCTCTCAGATTTCATGGACACCTCAGTTTTTTTGTTTGTTCTCTCTCTCTCTCTTCCTCCTCTTCCTCTTCTTCAGGCCGTTCCCTGCCCCCCCCTTCCGCGAGCATGCCTCGGGCCATGCTGCGCTGGACCCCCTCGTCGTGGCCTCGCTCTTCGGCGTGCCCGGCCCGAGAGACAACGGGAGGGCCGCCCAGCCCCAGAAGACCGCGGAGACGCGGGCGAGGAGGAGGAGGAGGAGGAGGAGGAGGAGAAGGGAGGAGGAGAAGGGAGGAGGAGGAGGAGGAGGAGGAGGAGGAGGAGGAGGAGGAGGAGGATGATGATGATGATGATGAGGAGGAGGAGGAGGAGCAGGAGGACGACACGACATTGAACGGCCGTGAAAGTGTCCTCACCTGATGTTATTAATCTGAGGTTGCTATCGGACTGCTTGTGGTGTCACGTTTTTTTGTACACCCCTGGCCGCCTGAACCTTGAGGAAGTCTCGAGCGGGGATCCCGTTCACCGTTCATGAGCAAATTGTGAGCATGTCTCGAGCGGGACACCGTCAGTGAGAGAATTGCAAGGAAGTCTTGAGCCGGAACCTCCCCTATCAACTCCACACCTTCTGTTATATTCCGAGGCAGTCATTGGACGACTTGCAACACGCAAAGCTTAGTTTTACACATGACTGCCCGAATCGTGAGAATGTCTCGAACGAGGGCCTCATGCATACATGCATTGAGGACGTCTCGAACATGGGCCTCGTCCTTAACAAGCTGCAAGGATCCCCCGTGTAGGAGACTGCTCCTCGTCATCATCATTGTCGTCGTTGTAACCAGCATCCATGGTCATCACCATCACAAACGCGGGCATCAGCCTCACCATGATCGTCCACATCAACATCACAACGTTGTCATCGCCATCCCCATCATCCCCATCACGATCATGATCATCATTGGTGAACGCACTGTGGGGATGTGTCGAGGGGGATCCTCTTTTTGTAAGTACATGTCTAGGACGTTTTATGTGGGTTATTGTTTTCAACACAGAAGTTGTTTGTCCTTTGATCTTCTCCTCGAATTGGGAGAAGAAGGCGAGGGAGGACGGGCCAGGAGTGGGAGGAGTGAAGGAGCATGATCCATCCATGTACGACTTCCCACCATCATGCAGTGACTACAAGTGGGCCTGTGAGGAGGAGGAGGAGGAGGAGGAGGAGGAGGAGGAGGGTTTTGTGGAGCAAGAACATGCCCTTGCAGATGTGCAAACCATTCTTCTTCAGGACGTTTTCTTCTTGAGCACTGACGCAGTGCGTGCGACGACGCTTTCTATCCTCCCGTCGTCGACTCGAGCATGCCATCTCTTCGATGTAGGCGGCCGTCATCCGGAAGAGAGCTATCAACGATTATGCCACCGATGGCATCTGCCCCCCCCCACCGAAGCTACATGCTGGAGGCGTGGCCAGGCTCTCATAATTAAATTGTCATGCTTAACGCTTTCAATAATGATTCAGTGCTGTGTGCCAGCAGCTTTCATGCCGTTAGGGGTTTCGCTACGAGACGGCTGATCACGCTCATTTGAGGGAACTTAATGCCAATGGACAGGTTTCTCGTGGAATTTTCAGTGAGGGCTTACTGACCCCCCTCGTGTTCCTCCTTGACCCCCCCCACGAAACCCGAATCGTAGCAGGAATCGAAGAACCAGCCTGCTGCTTTACGAAGCACGGGGAGTGTGGTTCCTGTCCCCTGCCCGCTCCCTCCCATCCCTGCGCCGTTCCCCCCTCTTTTCCTCTCTCCCTCCTTCCTCTTCCTCTTCCTCGTGTTCCTCCTCCTCCTCCTCCTCCTCCTCCTCCTCCTCCTCCGCCTCTCCTCCTCATCTTCCTCCTCCTCCTCCTCCTCCTCCTCCTCCTCCTCTCCTCCTCCCCCTGCTCCTCCTCGCTCTCCTCCTCCTCCTCCTCCTTCTCGTCCTATTCCTCGACCCTCTCCGCGTTTACCCTGCTACCCTGCTGCTACTCCTTGTCCCCTCTCTCTCTCCCGTCCCGTCTCCTCCTCCCCTCTCCACTGTTGGATTGCTCTCTTGGGCTCAGGTCGGATGCCCTGGACTTGGGCCTCTCAGGCTTTTTCCGGATGCACGGGAGGTGCAATACTCGCAGAGGCACGCAAATCTTCGAAGCGTCGGCTCGCATCCTTCTGCTAGAGCGGCCGGTTACCAGCGTGTTGCTCGCCAAAGTTCCATTGGCGTTTGCGCATCCTGGTCTGCTGAGCGACCGCCAGCGCTTCGAAGTAAACAAGCTATTCGAAAGCGCCCACGACCACGGCCTCTTTTGACAGGGAGGGCGGACCTGGCCAGGTACCCGAACACGCCCGAGTCTCTCGCGCTCGCCAACGACGAGCCCTGGGACGACGACATGTGCGCCTCCCCTCGCGCAGCGTGCCATCGGCTTGCTAGACGACGGAGTAGGGAAGGGGGGCGAAGGCCTGGCGGTGTCGCTGTTGCTACATCGGTGATGGTGTTGACCGCGAGGGTGGTGCGTGCTTGCGGGCAGGGTTCCAGGCGGAAGTGCCACACGCCGAGGCGTCAGGAAAGGGAACACTTCCAGGGGCTCTGGCGTCGCATCCGCTGCCTATCTTCCCGTCGTCCTGCCACGCACCTCGCGATGTTTGTCCGCACGCTCTCCCTGTGCCTCCGTTGTCAGCCTCGTGCGCCCTGTCTTCAGTCTCTTCCCCGCGCCGAGGTTGCGTTGTCCCCGATGGGGCTCTCCCACCGAAGCGGGACAGGGTGGAGATTGATGGGAGAGGGGAGGTGGGAGGTGGAGGAGGAGGAGGTGGAGGAGGAGGAGGAGGAGGAGGAGGAGGAGGAGGAGGAGGAGGAGGAGGAGGAGGATCGGGGAGAGGCGGGTGGGGGGTGGAACCGGGCGAGGGAGGGAACGAGGAGGGGAGGTACGCAGCCCCCTTCGCGTCGTGGTCAGCTCATGACGGAAGGCTTTCCGCTATCTTCGGCCACTGGGGGCCCTTATTCAAGGGCGCCCTCGAGGGCGCGAAGTTATTCGCGCTTCGCGCTTCGCGGTTCGGCTCCGATTCCTCCTCATCCTCCTCTTCTCCCTTGGGAGGCGGCGCGAGAGCGCGAAGTTATTCGCACTTCGCGCTTCGCGCAGCGCGAAGCGCGAAGTTGGGAGCCCTAGTCAAAAATAGCCTGGGGACGGTTTTTGATTATTTTTGACACGTTCTGGAGTATTTTTATAGCTATTTTTCATTTTTCGTCCAACGTTCCCCTGTAGGAGGACAGGCCCGACTTGAATTTGGGCCTCGGGACCGTCTCAAAAAAAGCGGCTCAGGATGAAGAGCTGGTTTCTGGGAAGGGGTCCGTCCTCGGGGGGTCCTCCTGGAAAGTCACGACGTCGGGAGTCTGGGTGGAGCGGGAGGACAGCACCTCGCTTCGATCGCCGCCGCAAGTGTTGGCCAGGATCGCTCCATCACGCCGATCGGGTCGGCACTCGCACGAGTTCATACGGTCGGGGTGAGCGTGCTGCAGACGGCATGGCCATTCGGATGTCCTGAGGGACAACGGGCGAGACGGACCATGGCAGATGTGGCAGTGGCTCACGTGTGTTGTCAGCAGCGAGGGGGCGCAGCTGTGTCGCGACGATCCAGGCAACGAGAAGGGTGTCGACGAGGATCCCGATCATGACCCGGGCCGGCCCACGGGGGAAGAGACGGACAACATTCAAGACGGCGAGGAGCAGGGCCGACGTAGCAGCAGCATCCGCCTCACCTCTGCGCATGCTGAGCGTTGTATCTGGAACCTCGTAGCACATTGCATCTTGTAGGTGAGAGCCGCGGTGCGATGGGTCGGAGCCCAGCGGCGCTGCCAGGGCTGACTTGTCGGGGACAAGCCCACATGGGCTTGGCCCAGACGAGAGGGCAGACGTGGCTAGAGGAATGGCGGGGTGCCTTTTCAGGTATGACCGCGCGCAACAGCACCTGGAGGCGTTCTACATCGAGGCTCCTCCCGTCCCCTCCCTATCTTCTTCCTCCCTCCCTTCTCGCTCCTTCCTCCTCACTGTTCCTCGCTTCTCCTCCCGCTTCCCCCTCCTTATCTTCCTCTTCCTTATCCCTCCCCCTCGCTCATTCCTACTCACTACTCATTGCTCCCTCCCTCTTCTTCTCCCTCCTTGACTTCCTCTCACTCCTCCCCCTTCCGCTCCCTCTCCCCCTCCCCGTGAAGAGGGGTGGGGGTATTAACTGGACATTTTTTCCTCGTATCTCAGGCGCTGGAGATACGCAGCGATCGCCATGATCGAGCTGTGGCTGCGACTGGGTACGGCAAGTCCCACAATGACTCCATTCTCTGATCGTTTCTTGCTCGCGGGATGGTTGGGAGAAGCGACACTATTGCCGCCTTGGTCGTTCTGCACTTCCATCCCGCAGTGCAGATTCCGGTTCTTGTTGAGATACCCTCCATCAGGCGGGCCAGATTCTTCCACACAGGTTCATCGGCAGCTGGGGTCCGTGCGAAATCATCATCAGAAGGCGCCCTGCCTGCCTGTCTAGTCTCTTGGCATGCCCAGCACCGCGGAGTGATGGTTTCGGGTGTCCTGCTCATGTTGTCCGATGGTTTCGGATGCCCTGCTCATGTTCTCTTGCTGGTCAGACAGCGTGCTCAATTTCGGAAATCGTGGGAACGGGGAGGTTCAAACGATGAGCACCTTCGAGGTACAGTGACCCCTAAGCATTGTACCGGCATCGCGTTTTCGCCTCGAATCATAGCATAACACATCATAGCATAGCGCAGCATAGGGAGGGGTATTCTACACCGTATAGTTGAACAGCACGCGTATGGAAGTCATGCCAACATGACAGTTGATTTGAGCTCCTTACTGGGTGTGTGTCGCCCCAGGTTCTCATAATAACCAGCCAGACTCTCCCTTGAATCTGTCCAGAAGATATTCGGCCCTCTCCGCGTACGGCTTCACACAGGGTTTAGACAGTTGGTTCTCAGATGTTTTTCTCCTGATTGTTGACATGGTGCCACCGCTGCATCGTGGGCCTCATCTTCGGATCGATGCTTTATTCCCGTCGTTCAGAATGGCGCTCTCGTCCCAGCGCAGGTCACTTGTCAGAATCCGAGTCTCTTTTCGTCGTTGTCGCCTCCCTAATTTCCCCTCTTTCACCTTCCCCCGGTCCTCCTCCTTTTCCTCCTGCTCCTTCCACTCCAGCTCCTGCTTCTGCTGATCGTCGTCCTCCTCGTTTTCTGCTCTCTTCCGCCACCTCTTCCCAATGTACGCAGCTCCCGTTTTTGTCCGATTGCGTATAGCACGATGGGGTCTTTATGGAGTTCCATATTCGCTATGTCATGCGTCGGCGGATATCATATCCAGACGTTTATACATGTATACACGCACGTTTATACATACACATATACATAGAACAGCGCAATGGACAGCGATGGGTTGGACGGGGTAGGATGTCAGATATGGCGCGAGCTCACCTGGATTGCCCTCCTCCCCTCTCTTTATCCCCTCACCTCCCCCCCGATTTCTTCTCCCTTTCCCCTCCCGCTCCTCGCTTGCCTCCTCCTCCTGCTCCTCCTCCTCCTCCTCCTGCTCCTCCTCCTCCTCCTCCCGTCAATGCGGAGGTGTAGGAGGAGGACGAGGAGGAGGAGGAGGAGGACGAGGAGGAGGAGGAGGAGGAAGAAACAGGAGGAGGAGGGAGGAGGGAGGAGGAGGGAGGAGGGAGGAGGAGGGAGGAGGGAGGAGGAGGGACTCCTCGTGCCTCCCCTGGACGACTGGGAGAGGTGCCGCTCACGTCGAGCAGTGTAGCGTCCCGATGAAGGCTCCTCCTGCTGCCACCTGCTGGCCCTCGTCGCGCCGGCAGGTTTTCCTGGAGCTGGCCAACTACGGTGAGATCGAGGACTCCTCCACGCTCCGCGCCCTCTCCTCGGAGGAGCAGGAGGTCATGAGAGTGATATGTTCCAAGGTTTCCAGGTTTTCCAGAATTTCCGGATGTTCCACCAGGGGCTGCAGAACCGAGGGCCGCTAGATCTTCTGGAAATCCTGAAACGCATCCTGAGCCGGCCCTATCATGACATCATTTCTGTCCGATCATCGGCCTGCCCCACCCTCGGTCCTCCTCCCCGCACGTTCACCGAGCGCGTTCCACTGGTCGCAGAGTGCCTACTCGCAAACGTCCCGAGAACACATGTTTTTTGTCCACCGTCCTGTCTGTGGGGTCCTCGTTTTGAATTAGCAGCCCCGCGCGTCTCCCTCCTGCTTCTCCTCCTCCTTCTCCTCCTTTACTCTTTCTCCTCCTCCTTCCCCCCTCCCACTCCTACCTACCTCCATTTCCGAACAACATCTTCATCCCTCTTCGCATTTCGGCACGCCCCTCACACGTTTTGTGACCCCGTGGAGAGCTCCAGCCAAGGCCCTGGTGGCTGTGTTCGCATGCTGCCCCGCCCCATTTTCATGGCCCCGTAAGGAGCTCCACCGAAGGCCCTGGTGGCTGCGTTCGCATGCGGCCCCGCCCCATTTTGGCACACCCCTCACATGTTTCGGTGCCCCATAGGGGACCCCACCGAAGACACTGGTGGCAGCGTTCGTATGAGTCTTGCCGCGTTTCGGCAGACCCCTCGCACGTTTCGTGACCCCATAGGGAGCTCCACCGAAGACCCTGGTGGCAACGTTCGCATGCAGCCCCGCTCCATTTCGGCAGACCACCCACATGTTTCGTGGCCCCATAGGGAGCTCCACCGAAGGCCCTGATGGCTGCGTTCGCAAGCGGCGCCGCCCCATTTTCGGCAGACCCCTCGCACGCTTCGTGGCCCCACTGGGAGGGAGCGCCACCGAAGGCCCTGGTGGCTGCATTCGCATGCGGCTCCAACCCGTTTTGGCAGACCTCAAACACGTTTTGTGGCCCCATAGGGAGCTCCACCGAATGCCCTGGTGGCTGCGTTCGGTTGCGGCCCCGATCCGTTTCGGCAGACCCCTCGCACGCTTCGTGGCCCCATAGGGAGCTCCAGCGAATGCTCTGGTGCGCCCCATTTTGGGCAGATCACTCGCAAGTTTTGTGACCCCATAGGGAGCTCCACCAACTGCCCCAGTGGCTGCGTTCGCATGCGGTCCCGCCCCATTTTCGGCAGACTCCTCGCACGTTTCGTGGCCTCTATAGGGGGCTCCATCCAAGGCCCTGGTGGTTGTGATCGCATGCAGCTCGCCCCATTTTGGCAGACCCCTTGCACGCTTCTGGGCCCCACTTGCGCAGGACGAGAGATTTTCCTTTTGAAACCGAAGAGGACCACCCCCGTCTCCTGTAGAATCTGAGCAGGGGGGGGCCTGTGGTCGACGGATCCAATTCTTGTCGGTTCCCAGAACGAATTTGATTTTGTAAGTTCAAAACGGGGTAGAAATGGGATCCGCCATTACAAAATAAGGTCCGACGCGGATCCCGAAAATCAGAAATGGGATTCGCGCGCACGGAAATTGGATCTGCCGCGATTTCACGATTACGGTAAGGTTGGAAATCGGATCCGTGCGACCCTCATTGGGTTCGCCGCTATGATTTCCCAGAGGGCCCGTGCACCGCGTGGGACCGTGAGGTTCAGCGCCAAGAGGAAGAAACCTCTCGGCCTGGGGATGTATGGGGGCTGCACCGGAGGCCCCAGCTGCTGCGTCCACATGGCGTGGAGCGGTCCTGCTTGTACCCGCCGCCAGTCTACAAAGAGGGTCGGGCTCTTCGCCAGGCTGCTGCCTCGATGCCCCGGAGCGGGGGCACCGCCGAAGGCCCCGGCGGCAGCGCCCGCGTGCAGTTCCACCCCCCGTGCTGCTGCACCCCTCACACGCTTCGTGGCCCCCCATAGGGAGCTCCACCCAGGGCTCCACGGGCAGCGCCCGCACGCGGCTCCACCTTCCATGCCAGCACGCCCCTCACACGCTTGGTGGTCCCCCACAGGGATCTCCATGAAAGGCTCCAGGGGCAGCGCCCGCGCGCAGTTCCACCCATCCTTTTCGGCACACCCCTCGCCCGTTTCGTGGCCCCACAGAGAGTTCCACCGAAGGCCCCAGTGGCAGCGACCGCATGCGGTTCCACCATTTTGGCACACCCATCACATGTTTCGTGGCCCCATAGGGAGCTTCCGCCTGCAGTTCAATTGCCCCCGCATGCTGTTCCATCATGATTTCGGTGCACCCCTCACACGTTTCGTGGCCCCGTAGGAAGCTCCCCCGATGGCCGCAATGCCAGCGCCCGCATGCAGTTTTACCCTCGTGGCCCCATCGGTAGCCCCACCCAAGGCTACAGTGGCAGCGCTCGCATGCAGTTCCACCCCCATGTCGGTGCATCCCGCACACGCTTCGAGACCCCATCGGGAGCTCCAGCGAAGGCCTCACTGGCAGCGCCCGCATGGGGTTCCACCTTCCATCTCGGCGAGCCCCCTCACACGTTCCGTGGCCCGACAGGGCGGTGCCGTAGGGAGCTTCACCTGAGGCTCCACGGGGCGCGCCCGCATGCGGTCCGCCCGCCATTTCCGCACACCCGGCACGCGTTCCGTGGCCCCCTGGGGAGCTCCACCGAAAGCCCCGATTGCCCCCGCTGCTGGCCTCTGCGATGCTCGAAGGCCCCAGTCGCAGCGCCCGCATGGCGTGCCCGCCAGACTTCGGCACACCATGTTGTGCGCTTCGTGGCCCCACAAGGAGAGTCACCGAAGAGGATACCTACAGCGACGGTGCTCACAACTGCATATGGTTGGACCCGTCGCCAGGCTTTTGTACAATAGAAGAACATATAAACAAGGAATCCACATTTTGGGCTAGTGTTTGGCCAGGCGCCGCTCTCCCTCTGGAGTCTTCAATATTGATTTTCAGCTTGTGGTTCTGGCGGGCGACTTCAAGCCGAAAAAGCGCCGACAATCGAGGAGGGAGTGATTAAAAGTGCTACACAGAAGGTGAGGGAGGCGTGGCCAGCCTTCCGCACCGCTCGGAGGCGGGCGAGCTTACTTTCGCCCGCCGACGTAGTGCAGCTGGTACTCCGCTGAACGCTCCGATCACCAGTCGTTCGCTGCGTGACGATTGTCAGGAGCGACGCTCGCTCCGGAGAAGGATAGGAAGAGGGAGTGGGGGAGAGGGAGATACATGCCCAAAGGGGAAAGGTGCTGTCACGGAGGAGTGGGCCTGAAGGGCGAGCGAAATTTGTGTGTTACCAGCAGCCGTACTTTCTGAGATCTACGACTCGAAAGTCCACCTCCAGGTGGCCTCCAGCGATTGCCACCGACCCAGGTCGATCCCGTGGCTAGTTTTCTCAGAGTGGCCATCCACTTGCAGCCGTGCGATACCGAACCATCACGCGAGAAAGCGCAGGTTGAGTATCTGCTTTCAGCATCTGCTTCTGGGAGCGCGAACATGTGGGAGGGGGTTGGTATACACCAGCGACGCAAATTCAACACATATGTTCGTACACATACGTAGGTATATGCACACGTGCTTGCACACATCACGAATATACATGCACACACATTTACATTTACATTTACATTTACATATACATACACGTATACGTATATACACATGGATATTGTAATTCTACATTGCGTGTTTGTGTATGCACATATATATACATATACATACACCGATCTCTCTCTCTCTATATATATATATATATATATATACAAGACTGCAGTGGCGCTTCGCGCCATGCACCTTGGTCCTTGAAGTTTGGGATGCGGGCGGAGTGGTAGGAAAGTCAAGCTGACAATTCAGCGATAACTCCTGGTTGCCTTTTCCGGCATCGCCGCTGTAATGATGTTATTCGTTATCCATCCTCCATGCTTATTGTTCATTATGTTCGCCATACCCTGCGCATTCTCCCCATCCTCCTCAGCTCTTTTTTGCGGAGGCTCCTCCTTGGAGAGCCTCTGGAGAGCCTCTAGGGGCCTCACAAAAGTTGTTTCGGGCTTTCTTAAAGCCTTCTGGAGGCCTCCTGGGCGTATTCTGGGGGCCTCCGGGGGCTTCCTCGGGCCACCCTGCCTCCAACCGCGGTCTCCCTGAACGACCGAGTCGCGATTTGGAACTCTTCGGAGGGTGTCTTTGGGCCATCTTGGGCGGCCATGGGGCTCTCTGAGGGCCATCTTGGACCCGTGTTGTGCCGTTTTGGGGCTCTCTTGGACTGCCTGAAGCCCTTTCGGATGGTTGTGGGGCGATGTGGGAGCCTCCCAGGCGGCTTCGGACGCCCAGAAGACCGCCGTCTTGGAGCGTCGGGAAGCCGAAAAGAGGATAACCCCCAAATCCACCAGAAACCCATCGTAAATTAATGTTTTTTGCCTCGGGGGGCCTTCTTGGGAGTGCTCTTGGAGGCTTCTTTAGGGCCGTCCTGGAGGCCTCTTGGGCCATCTTGAGGTCACGTCGGTCACTCTCGGAACGCTCTTGTGCTGTCTTGGGGGTCTCTGGGACGTCTCCGATGACCCCCCTGATTGCCCTAAGTGTGCTGGGAAGGCTTGGCAAAACGCCTTGCGAGGCCCGGTGGCCGCTTCGAGGCCTGTCCGGAGGGCCCCAAAGCCCCAGGTCCTGGGAGTTCGGTTTTTTTTGGGGGGGATGGGTTCCGGGGCGCCTCGCTGCCGGCCCGCGCCCTGGAGCTGGACCTGAGCTTCCCCGCCCCAGGCGCCGGGCAGCCAGGGGTCCTGCACCTTTGTGCGGGCGGCGCCTGCAGGGCCCCGCGGCTGGTCGGGCGCGGGGAACGGCACGCCGACTGGCTGCGCCTGCGGTCGGCTCGGAGCTTGGTCGAGCCGTGGGTTCGGCCGACCTTCCGACCGCCAGGCGGCGGTGGGCCAGGGGGTGGCGCCGCCGCTGCGCCCGCGAGGGGCCGCCTTGCGGGGGCTGCGGCTGGATTCGCGGCGGCTGCGGCTGCTGCGGAGGCGGCCGGCCCTGCAGCTCGCCCGCTGGTGGCTCGCCGACGCCGTCGCGAGCAGTCGCGAAGCGATAGCGAGGAGCGGGCAGGCGGCGACCAGCTGGATTTTCGCGACGCCCCCTCCCGCGGCAACGCCATTCAGGCGGTGGCCGACGGGCGCCCAGGCACGCTGTACGACGAAGCGATTGCCCAGATCGCGCGTGTCATGGGCCTGCGGGAGGGGGCGGACGGACAGAGGGTGCGCCCTCGCATCAGGGGCTACCTCCAGGCCGTGGTCTTCGGCCACCACCCGATCCACTCGGTCGGGGAGCGGGCGGTGCGCGAGCTCCAGACGCTGGCCGCAGCGATGGACCTGCTTGAGGACGGCTCGCTGGCGTCGGTCGCGGACACGCTGATGCAGCGGTTCAAGGCGCTGGAGATGGCGCTGAACGACGGCAACTGGTACATCGCCAACGAGCTGGAGGTGGTCGAGGGCATCCGCCCGACGCTCGCCTCCCGCGACGAGCAGGAGTCGGCGCGGAGGTCAGCGATGCTGCGGCGGCGGCTGGAGGAGGTCCGCGCCAGGGGGGCAGCCCCCCGCCGCTGACCCGAGGAGGCGGCGGCTGCGGAGCCGCCTCGAGCGCCCTCTCCAGGGCGGAGCCGTGGGCGCGGGAGCGACCCCGCTCGCCGCGGTCGGGCCTTCTTCACGACGAGGCGTGGCGGAGTCCGCCCTGGCGGAGCCGCGGCGGCTGCGGGCGAGGCTGCCAGCGGGCTGGGGGGTCCCGCAGCCGCTCGCGAGGCCTCGAGGTCCCCCGCCCGAGCGCCCTCCGACGCCGGGGGGCGGCCTCCCTCGCCGCTCCCCCCGAGGGCGGCCCGCGGGGACAGCCCCCGCCCTGGTGCTGCGGCGGCGCCGGGCCGCGTGGAGCTGCTGGGCGCCCCCGAAGTCCGCGCCTTTCGTCAGGACCAGCCGGCAGCGCAGGTCGGCGGGGGGGCTCCCCAGGTGCGGGGCGGCAGCCCGAAGGGCACGGGCAAGCGCCGCGGGCGTCGGGCGCCGAGAGGAGGACTGCCTGGCCGCGGTCGGCCGGCGCCCTGGAAGGGCCGCGGCAAGGGCCGCTAGCACTGGAGGCTCGGGCGCGCTCAGCTGATGATGCACGTGGGGATGCGGACCATCTGGGCCCAGCTGGAGCTCGTGCTGACTGCGTGGGCGAGCCAGAGCCGCCAGCTGATTCGCTAGAAGCAGGCCGGGGGGCGGCGCGCGCGCAGGCAGCTTGGCCAGACGCGGGCGCCCCCCTGGCGGAGCTCTCCCACACGTGGCAGGAGAAGGCTGGGGCTGCTGCCGAGTCCTTCCGCCGCCCGCTGGATGCGGGCCCGATCCTCGAGGAGCTGATGCGAGAGTTCCCAGGGGCGCTTGGGGTCTACGTGGACAAGTTCATTCACAGCGGGCATCGGCCAACTAGACGGGGGCGGCTGCAGCGTGATCTGCTACCGCTACCCTGTCCCGATCTTGAAGCTTCGGACTTCACCGTGGAGGAGGAGATTGACCCAGGCGACCTGGCCTCGCTGCAGTCTCGCTTGAGGGTGATCGTGATGGCTATGAACTGGGAGGCCGGCTACCGCCACCTGAAGTGGGCCGACGTCTGCGGGCCGGAGCCGAATGCGGCCCAGCGCTCGGCTCGCCTCGGGATCGCGCGGCGCGTCTACTCGAGCGTCGCCCCCGAGCCCGCCGTGGCCGGGACCCTCGACTGGTCCGACAACTTGAAGGGCCGGGCCATCGCGTACGACGGCTCGGAGGTCTCCACGCCGAGCAAGATCGCGCTCGAGCAGATCGAGGGCGGCCTGCCGCCTGTGGGGGTAGCCGCCTCCATCGAGGCCGCGGATCTCGCCGCGGGCTTCGTGCGGGCGGCGCTGCTGGACCCCTCCCTGGTCCTCCTACCGCCGGCGCAGAGGCGCCCACTGGGCGGTGCACCACTCGCTGCTGGTGGCAGTGCCGTCCTTGCGGGGCCTCCACGAGGGCTCGAGGAGCTGGTCGATGGGCCGCAAGCTCTGGGCCGGCGGCGTGGAGACGCTGCGGTGTGGGCGCGAGGCCGTGTGCGAGGAGAACCTGCACCTGCTGGAGGAGGCCGGCCGCGTGCCCGCGGCGGGCGCTGGGCAGGAGGCGCGCGCCGTCTACGTCGGCCGCGGCTCGCGCCGCTGGGGGCTCGGCCCCTCCAAGTGGGGGAACCCGTGCCCCGTGGTGCTGGGGCGGCCGGCCAGAGACGCCGTGGCGCTGTTCGCGGGCTGGCTGCGCTCCCAGCCCAAGCTCCTGGACCAGCTGGGGGAGCTGGAGGGGGCTCGGCTGCTCTGCCACTGTCCCTCAGGCGAGCCCTGCCACGCGAACGTCCTGCTGGC